AAAAAAAAAAAAAAACCTCAGCCAAGTAGAGGCCAGTGATTAACACTTTTCCAACAGGAACAGAACCCAAGCATCCTAAAGTAGTTTTTCCAATAGACTCATGAATTCAAAACATAAAGTTATTTAAATAACAGGATAACCATGGTGATCAGCTGTCACCTGAGTGGTGCTGAGGACTGGGTTTGACCTAGGTAAACTCCTAGGCCTGTGAGTTTCTATCCCTGCAGTGTCTAAAGTGGATGCCCAGGCTCCACTGACCCCAGCAGTCTGGCTCCCTGCCCCTGCCACCCAGGAAGTGCAGCTCTTGGCACACATCACCCTTAGTGTCTCGAAAGAAGAGAAATTAGAAGAGAAAGGGGGAAAAGCTTATATCATATCATGTGGTTGCCTCATTTTGTAGCAAGATTGTTTCCCCATGAGCAGTTTGTCTTCATTTAGCAGCTGTCTTCTCTGGGGAAGCCATTTTGTAGAGGTGTTTGTCACAGTGCGACAACTGACGGCTGGGGGAAATTGCAGTTTGGAGCAGGGACCCAGGTTGTGGTCACCCCAGGTAAGCCCCATTCCCAGGAGCCTCACCTGCCCTTAATATTTGACATGCCCTGCATGCCAAATATTTCTAGCTGAGACTATGAGAAACATATGAAAGGAAGCCATTTCCCTGAAGAGCAGTACCCAAAGCCATTAAGCAAAAATGAGAGATCAGATTTGTGTTAAATAGAAACACTTTTTGATAAATAGGAATTCTCATTATTCTCTATCAGTCTCCTGTGTGGATACCCTTATTCCCCTTATAAGGAAAAAAGTTACAATAAGCAGTATAGCCATGATTCATACTGTGGTGTGGGAGCAATCTGCTGTGGATTTGGGGGTGGAGGATTAGAAATGTGTTCAGGCAGATTGGATGTGTTTTTGACAGGATATGTAACACAGTGTGAATTATAACCAGGGAGGAAAGCTTATCTTCGGACAGGGAACTGAGTTATCTGTGAAGCCCAGTAAGTATAAAATTGTATCCCTGGATTAAGCAATGTCTGTGGATTCAGGGCTGATTTAGACCCAATTATATACTATATGAAGAATGTTTAGAGAGGGGGATGAGCATCAAATAGGAAGCCAGACATCGCCCTGGCTAGGATCTGGCATCATGGTGCAAAATGGACCATGTAAGTGTGTCTCTGGGAATTGCTCCTGAATATAGGTGTTGGGACTAAAGGTTATGACTGACTACTTGGGGTGTTGGCTGGGATCATAGCCCTGGATTTATGCAGTAATTTGTGACAAGATTTCTAATTCCTTAACAAACCTTCTAAGTCACTATTCTATTTGGCTAAGATTATGTCAATTAATAGAAAAAAAGGACCTTGTAAATAATGATCATTGACCAAAAGAAATGTGATTAGTCTTTCCCAAAGTCCGAAAAAAAAAAAAAAAAAAAAAAAAGCACCTTTTTATTTTTTTTTGATTTATTTTATTTTATTGCACTTTAGGTTCTGGGGTACATGTGAAGAACATGCAGGATTGTTGCATAGGTACATACATGGCAATGCGGTTTGCTGCCTCCATCCCCATCACATATATCTGGCATTTCTCCCCGTGTTATCCCTCCCCAACTCCCTAACCCTCACTGTCCCCCCGCAGTACCCCCCAACAGACCCCTGTGTGTGATGCTTCCCTCCCTGTGTCCATGTGTTCTCATTGTTCAACACCCAGCTATGAGTGAGAACATGCAGAAAAACATTTTTCAAAAAAAAAAAACAGTTTACTCATGACTACTGAGAGACACTTCCTGTTTCTGAAACTTTTGGCCAAAAATTCATACAGCATAGCCTCACAGAGCAGAGAGAGCCTTGACAACCTTCCTTT